AAGAATAAGAACCACTTCGTTGGCTTTGCAGCAATTCACTTCTCATTTCTGTAAAACTGCCTAGCAGAAAATTGGTCTAAAAGAAGAACGAAACATCATAATCATCATCATCATCATTATCATCATCAACAACATATCAACTTCATCATCGTCATCATCATCATCATCATTGCCTTTCTCACCCTGCACCAGGGAATAGGCCACGGACAACCACTTTCCACTTTTCTCTATCCTGGACTAGCCTCTTGATGTTATTCCATGTCTTCCCACTTTTCTGCACGTAATAAAACTTGCTTACGGCTTTGTATATAAAGAATTTATTGGTTTGGCCCTGTGGCTGTTCTTATTTTGAAGTATTTTGAAAACAGCCAGTTACAGGAAGTATGACGTATTTTCAATGTTCTTCTTCGTGAAAAGTAGAATTCTAGTGAAAAGCGAAGACCAAGTGAAAAGCGGGATTTAGATTCTTGATTCTAAATACAAAATGCAAAACTAAGGCCTAGGCTAACTTCTAAGGCATGCGACACTGAGGCAGTAGGCCTATATTATAGGCCCTAAGATATCTTTTGGCTAAGCCTAGTTCAAGTGGGTGGTTGGAGGGCACCATTGATAGGACCTACTTCTTCACATTCCCCTCTGTTCTTTCTGAATATCTGTCTTACTTTTTTCCAGCGCTGTGACCGTTATTTTATCGATGTGCTTCTCTTTACTCAAACAAACAAACAAGCCTAGCTCAAGCTCGAGCTCTATTCCTTTCTTTTTTAAGGCACGAATCCTGTCACTGACGCCTTCAATGTTGACCCCAGCACCGGTGCTGTCACCACTTTGAAACTGTTTGATGCAGACGGCAGCATATCATCGTACATTCTCACCGTTCAGGTAAGCCAGTTTTTTTGGGTTTTTCTGTTTTTAAATAAATGTTCTGCTGTTATAGAAAGGCATAGAAATTGTTCCGAGGAGAAATGCCCCAAGAGATGATGTACAACTTGGAGAAAAATGAAAGAACATTTTGAAAAAAACAACAACAACATGTATCTAACTGATTGTGTGAATTGGTAAAATAGATCTACTTAGATCAAATTTACTTTGAAACCTTTTCTGATAATTTCGATTGCTATTTTCCAATCGCTGATTACATACTTAAATTCACTCTTCAGGAAGCAGACAGGGGTTGGAAGTGTAAGGAGCAGGTTATTCCAACACCTGTCCCTTACTTTTTGCTTTGGTCCTGAAAATTTAATTTTGCTACTTCATTAGGCCTACTTTAAAAAAAAAAGATTTTGAATTATTAGAAAAAAGGAGGTTCTGATGTTAAATGGGTTTTTTTTATTTTTCAGGGAACCGATTCGAGTTCTTCGGTGACGGAGACAGTAACAGTTTCTCTAACAGATATCAATGACGTAGAGCCTGTGTTCTCTAGCACACCTTTCATAGTGCAGACTATTGCAGAGAGTAGCGCTAAAACAGGCTCCATTGTAACTACAGTAAGTACTCTTGTATTTTCAATCTAGGCAGTAGTTTGCTTATAAATAATTCACGTCTTGTTGTTCTTATTTCCTTTCTTTACTTTTCTTTTTGATGATGGGTAACAGGAAATAATGGAGAATAAGTATGCTCCGTATGTCTTAACTAGCCTACTGAATGATTTTTATTACAATAGACACGCCTTTGACAGGATTTATTTCTGTTGAAGATAAGTATAAAGATAAGATATCACTATTCATTGGTCTCCACAAAGAAAAAACTGCTGTTGTATGATGCCTGCATATACACATACGCACTCGTAAACTCTCTCTCTCTCTCTCTCTCTCTCACACACACACACACACACATAATAATGGTAGATACACAAGCGCACACAGATAAATAGTCATTAGATGGAAATACAAACTATTGTTATTCTCACACACCTGACGGTGTCCTGCATTTTGCGAACAGGGTCACTAAGCTGTGGCTCTCACAAGACAGTGGCTCATCTGTAAAAATAGGGAAAAGGCTGGAAGCTGAATGAATGAAAAATTAAACTCCTTCTGTACCGTTTAATCCTAAGCAAAGGAGTATTAACACTCAATGTAGAGGTATCCAAAGACACAAATATAGTTGTCCACCTCAATCTTTCAGTTTTAGCCCCTTTTGGCAGTAGAGGAAAAAAGTCCCATTTTCAATAACATTAATTGCTTGCGATTGGAAGGGAGGCTGTGAAAAAAGGTAAAAGATTCACATGTCAAACTTAACAGTTTTCATTACAATATCATTTATGTTATTTGTGTTTTCATCTTTGTTCTTGAAATTGGCTTAATATAAACTGTGTTTTTCAGGTGTCAGCTACAGATGGAGACAAGACTGCTTCAACTTTTACCTATGCCGTTGATGTTGTGCAAGGGGGCACAGTTGGTAATGTTTGTTTTGCTACAGAGTAGCGTCATAGCATTTTCAGCCTTTAAGATCTCTTTAACATGTTAATTTTAGATTGTCTATAGTCTCAGCCAAAATGCTATGGTTTTTCTTTTCCCAAAATATTCACAAAAAAGATGTTTGATCCGTAGTTAAATACAGTCTTAGCTTTATTTGGCCTTGCTAATTTGTTTAAGATTACAATACAACTTGTATTCGGTTTTAGTGGGAAATATAATATCATCATTAGCTTATTTATTCTCGAAAAGAGATTTTTGTGGTGATATCCACCCATAATCACTTGGCACAGCTTGCTGTTGCTCTTGGTAAATACTGCATTGGTGCTAGTCAGATACTAGAAATTTTACATTTCTTCTTCCAATTTCAATGTTCACACTTTAGTTTCTGTGTGAATATTTTTTCAAATTTGCTTTGTCCTCTTGTCAATTTGAGCACGCAGTATCTGTGGTAACGCAATGAAGGTTACAACTTGGGAAATAATTTTCCAGTCATACGACAATGTTTAAGACTTAAGAAATAAATAGTTTGTATGGAGTCAAGTGACATTTTTTGTGGATGTATTATTGAATAAAATGGATTGTTTTTTTCTCTTTCAGCCAGTGACTGGGCCTTCAGTGGAACAACCAGTGGACAGCTTGAGTTCAAAACTGACCTTGATCTTGATACTGGCTCTTTGTCGCTACATGTCTTGAAGGTATGACAAAAAAAAGAATTATCATCATTTCATTCTTTTGATTGTGGAATTAGTTAATGTTCTGAAGAGAATGTCACACAGCTACTCAAAATCTATACACAGATGCACAACACTGAATGTCTGATCATCTTTTGCTGTCTCATTTGAATTAGACAAGACATACTTTCATGGTAAACACCTAAAGATCTATCTACCAGCTGGGGGTCTTAATAAACCTATCTTTCTCTGACTTTTATTTCACTTTGAAGACAGACTCTATTCGCCTTTCAGAGATATAGGTACCTGTGTCTGCGTGTAAAGGTTAGGCGTTGTTGCCCTCACACACAGAATATTGTAGGGAGCAATTTGTATCGAGTAAGTCTATCTCTGTGAACCTGCTGTGGTGTTGAATACCTTACAGTCCGGGAGGGTCGAAGCAGCTTATGTCCCAAATAATCTAAATTGTGTTGATTGTGTCGTAAAACATTTACAAAAATTACAATTTAGAGATAATATGTTGCAGCTCGTGCAATAAGTATTACATTCTTTTGAAGACTAATGTTATGATTTTCACGATTTCGTGCTTGTTCATTTTCCCTCATAAAAATCTCTACAAGGCTGACTCTTGTTAAACATAATTGATGATGGACTTACCGGTTTATTCTTTCCATTTTAGCTGACAGTCAAAGATGGTGTCAGTCCAGAGCAGACAGGCACAGCCACGCTGACTGTCAGCATTATTCCAGATAATGAGTTTACTCCGACGATCTCTTCTGTTGTACCGGCTCAACCAATATCGGTAGGTGTTCAAGCTATGTTATGGTGGGGGGGGGGGGATGTTTAATTAGTATTGTTACATTTCAGAGAAATATTCTTGTTCTGGTGGTTTTGGCAAGAAGAATTACACAATAATTATACTAGTTTGAATCTTAAAATTGTAACACTATTTTTTGTGTGACAGGTTACCATAGTGTGAGCGTGGGTTGTTAATAAACTCTATTCACTATGGAGAAACATGGTGCAAGAATATTCCCAATATCCTTGTTTTGGTCTCCTTGTTACAGTAACTATATAATTCAAACAATAATTTAGTAGTTCACCTTACTGAAGCAGGATGTTTTGTCTTTATTTTACTTGGCTGGATATACTTCTGTTATTCTGTTCAGTGGTTGTCTGTGGTCATATGTCTTTCCAATCACTACTTATATATATATATACATTGAAACTTTCTTTTTCTTTTCCTTAGTTGAAAGTCATTTAATTAATCGAAAAAAATTGTGAGGCAGCGTGGTGGAACCAGGCTCTCGTCAAAATTTGGTCATGTAGAGTTATTGGTATCATCTTAAAGCCTGGTCACTAGTCTTTGTTTGGGTGAAAAAAATATTCATTTATCTTGAATACAAGTCGAGATATTTGAAAAAGAAGGAGGTGGGGGTCACCTGTTTTCAGAGGTAAAACTAATGAGAAAATGGCCGCCAAAGATTAGTTATTTCCTTAGCTTAAGAGTCCGTGGTAACTTGGTAACTGAAAATTTACTTTGTTTGTGCCTTTAATCAACGTTTTTCAGAAAAATCCGCACAGAAATTAGTTCTTTAATGGGCATGAAAGGTGTTGAGTCAAAAACAAAAAATTTGATCAAAATTCACAAACCTGCAGAAAAATGCAAGTTTCTTCACTTTGCTTATTTTGACGAGAGCCTGATTTCATCACGCTGCCTCACATTTTGAGAGAGCTATAAACCTGTATTAATGAAATTTTTCATGTTCTGGTACATATTCAGTTAATAGTGTTTTCAGGGTACCAGAACTATCCGTTAGGCTGCTAAAAAAATTAGGGTTCAGCCCTTGCTACAGCAAACTGAATTTTTCTTGGTCTCTTGAACTGTTTTTGCCAGAAATTGCATGTGTTACTGTCATAGAAGTTTGAGTTAGTTTGAGTGACATTTGTAATTATTAATTTTTATGTTCGAATTGTTTAGCTTATATATGTTTATTTGTCAGCAGAAAGTATTTGATTTATTTCAATGTGTTTTCAGATTGCAGAGAACGTTGGTAGTGGAGTTTCTGTTGCTCTTGTCAATGCTGCAGACAGTGATACTGGTGATGAAGGAACCTTGGCCTTCAGTATCATTGGTAAATGAAATGTTGCCCGGGCTTGCTTGTAATAAATTTGGGATTCATTTTTTCTTGATTTTTCTGTTAATTTTTATTTTTTCATTGATGTTTGTTGGACTTCCAATTTTTACCAGTCAAATTTCTTCCACAGGCATTATATTTGGACGTTATTCTTTCAACATGAGAGGGAATCTTACCTTATTGTTTGAGACATCTTTGTCTCATTTGGTTTTGGGAATAGTATAAATATTGTTTATGCTAGAGGTTTTTTTTAACGATCATGGGAGCCTCTTCAAAGTATTGATTTTTCTTCTGGCTTGTATAAAGTGAACAATATCTTTCAATCTTGAAATGAATATGACTGGATGGGATTTTGTGGTTGAAGGAAAAAGAGAAAGGGCAGGTACTAATACATTTATTGCCATAAAGTATGAGAAAATAAAAACAAACTATTCCAGGGGGCTCTCGTGGCCTAGAGGTTAAGGTGTTGGCCTCTCATTCAAAGGTCCTGGGTTCGATTCCGGGTAGCGACCAAAACATTTTCTTCTCTAAAATTGTCTCCTTTCACATCCTTTCCTGATCTCTAACAATGTTCTGTTGTCTGCTTTCATTTTCACTTTCTGCCCCCACCCCCTCACCCCCTTTGCCCCCTCCTCTGGGCTCCTGACTCTTTCTGCAGCCTTTCTACTGCTACTCCCTGGCTCCTCCTAACTGCTGTCTTTCTGCCACACCCCTGATCTTCTGGTAGGAAAGATCTACACCTAGCCTTCTCGGACAAGGGCGAAAAATCTCGGAGGGCCCGTGTGCAAGTTGCGCACGTTAAAGATCCCTTGGTGGTCTAAAATCGATAAGAGTAGGCTTCGGCCGCCACCCGGGCAAAATTCAAAATTTCCTACCAACGAAAAAGTATTAGGTGTGTCCCGCGCGCTCATATGACCTTATGCAGTTGCGAGCGCCGTAAAACCCTATACTAAACAAACAAACAAAACTATTCCAGTGTATGGAAAGGAATTAATAATCTTTACAACATCAATGTTTAGAAGATCATATTTCTGTATAACAGTTTTGGTATTTCTCATTACTTTCCCCTTCTCCAAAATGCAGGTGGAGACACAGATGGCGTTTTCTCAGTGGATAGCAGTGGGAAAATAGCAACCCAAGCATCTCTAGACCGAGAGACAACAGACAGCTACACACTGATTGTGCAAGTTATCGACTCTGGAGTCTCACCTAAGTAAGTAAATCAGTCAGTCAGCTTCTTGTGCAGTCAGTCTGAACATTGAAAAATACTGCCCCCCCCAATAAAAAGGGTTGAGTGGTGATGATCATTTATATGTAGTCTTACAGTGAGTGCTGGAAAAGCTACAACACCCTATAGAAGCCAAGTCCATGGGGATTTGATAAAGTGGATTTTTTCTATTTATGGTTTTGTATAGTTCAATTTGACCTCAAGGGAAAAGCAAGTATACATATTTTATTTCAATCTCTTTTCTCACTCTTGTGTCTCTGGATAGGACAAAAGATTTTTTAACTATAAAATTGATAAAGGGAATATTTGAGCACATTCAGACAATTTAATTTCAGAAAGTGTCTGGGCTTTACTGAAAATACACCATATATTGCGTATTGTTTGTCTGTCAGATATTTAATTGTGTTGCTTTAAATTTGATTGCATTTTTAAAACTTTCAGACATTTGGTTGTGCAGTTTTGACTTTCAGACATTTGATTGTGTTGTTTTGACTTTCAGATATTTGATTGTGTTGTTTTGACTCACAAGTTTAATTACGTAATTTTTGACTGTCAGAAACTTTGCCTTTTATGTCTTTTTAGGTCAGTGACAACAAGTGTATCAGTAACTATCTCAGATGTCACTGACAATGCCCCAACTTGTTCTCCTTCTTATTACACCAAAGAGTTGTCGGAGACAAGCAGCGCAAACACTGTTGTGAGTATATTATAGGTCTGTTGTCAACAATACTTCGGTGAGTATAGATTTATTGTTCACAAACAAGTAAACTGTGCTGTGAGTATGATTCTATTGTATACTGATTAATTCTGCTGTAAGATTAGGTCTTTGTTACAAATAAATGTTATTGCGAGAATGGGTCTATTGTTGCTAAAGGCCTTTTTCTAAAGTGGCTACATAAATGGTCAGTAAACTTTTAAATTTTGTGTGAGCTGTTGTTTGAATTTCAGCAAGCCCTTTGATCTTGTGTATTGCGATAATGAATCTTGTCTAACTTTTTAATACAACTTTATTTTTTCCAACTTTTTCAGCTTTACTCCTTGATGATGAAGTACATGTACATTAAAACAACAGATTGCTTTTATTCTTACTAAAGAGATGTTTGTTTGGTGGTATGCTGACAAATGTTTATATTCTGGTTCCTCTCATTGGCCTTTTGCTTGATTGAGTTTGCGCCAAGAGTACTTTATTGTAATGCTGTGCAATCCTCAGGTTGTCACAATATCCTGCTCTGACGAGGACACTGGAGATACGCTGAGCTACTCTGTAAAAAGCCCCCACGACACTAACTTTGGCTTCACGACACCCACCAATGAATTGAAGTTGATAAGCACTACAGGTAGTTTGAATTTGATCCTTTTTTATGTTGGAATATTTTCCTCTTTTCCCATTTTTGAAATAAAACTAAATCTTATTGTAATTACATTGTTCACAGAATAGATTGTTCTACAATCAAATACTTGAATCTGTTAAAAGAATCAGGAAGATAAAGAGGCATACATAGAGATTGTGAATTTTTGTGTTTTTGGCACGAAGATGAAATGACTTTTATAAATTTAACTGAATATAGAAGTATGTGGAGGGTCGTGGCCTGATTGAAAGTGAAGTGAAATGCCCTTAAAATGTCACTCTCCTAACCACACTGAAGTGTCAACTGTAGGTATTACATAGTTCCGCACAAGCCCCCACCTCACCACCTTCACGCAGCTTCTTCAAAACCATAAAGTCAGCCATTATTGCCCCCTCTCTCCTGTTGTCTTCTGATAAAACACTCGCCTGCTTGCTTGTCTTTTCAGCATTTGCTTATGCCTCTCCTCACTACACCTTAATGTGACCTTCTAGATTCACCTATGTCTCACGCTTGTGACGTATCCCCAGGTTTTGACTACGACTCTGCCACACAGTCCTACAATGTGGAGGTGGAAGTCACAGACAGTACGTACACGTCCACAGTCAAGGTCAGAGTTAACGTCGGGGCTAACAACGACCACACACCGGCATTTTCAAGTAACCCTGTGGTAACGGTGGCTGAGAACTCACTCTCTGACCCCTTGTACACGTACACAGCTGATGATGCAGACTTCAGTCCCCATGGAGTCACCTCCTACACCATTAATGCTGGTGAGTTGAAAAAGAACACAGTCTAACACACGCATAATACAATAGGTGGGACGTGAAAATCTTTTAGTAATGTACGAATTTTGCGCTGCGTATGTTTTAAATATGCTACAAAGCTAAATCAGGTAAAAGAAAATATTTGGGACTTGAAAATCTGTTCACAATGAGTGTGTTTTAACATGTGAGTGCTACACTGTAGGCACTTTCTCAAGGGATATATAGCACATAGATCTTCCCTAATAATATGGAATAGTAGGTGAACATGTTTTCAAAAGTTAGGTTTAAGTCTCAAACTACCGTGGAGATTAAAAGTGTAATTGATTTAATGTACAACCTCTTACCTCTGCCCTATGAGGTAGGTGCTGTGAGCTCGAATCCTTGTAACTGATGAGAGCTGCCGTAGCACAGGCATGTTTCTCTGTTGATTGCTGATCTATCTTAAAATAGGACCCATTCTTTAACTGTGCCACATCAAATAGGTCACTAGTACAACACGTTTTTCCAGGTTTTCTTAAATCAGCTTTTTTTACATGTAAAGCAGCGCTCTGGGCCTTATAGGTTTGAAAACAGTTGTTAAGAAAACTTTTAAAACCTGGGAAAAAACTAGAAAATCTACAATTCTTCAGATTGTTTTTACTTGATCCTGATAGAGAATTGTTCAAGTTTTTAAGGTTTTCTAGGATTTCTTTAATCAGCTGTCTTCAAACTTAACATAGGACCCTGAGGGAGGACAATAGTTTTAAGAAAATTTTGGAAACTTAGGAAAAATTTGAAAACCTACTGTAATGCTCGACATTTTTACTTGACCTAATAAAACATTGTCCGTTAATTGTGCCCTATTGGAATTTCTTCCCAATTGTGAACTGGCACCGTATACTTTGATAATGATAAAACAACACATTTTCCTATAGTTTCCCACAGCTGTATATATTTTTCTATCTCATTTTATCAGTCACAAACAGTGGCCAGTCTCTGTTCGGCATTGACTCCAGCTCTGGAGTGATCAGCATGCTGTCAACTCTGGACTATGACACTCTCCCTGCCGGAGACAAGACGTATGAGCTGGAGGTGGTGGCGGAGGACGGGGGTGGCCTTACCGTAAGTTATTGGGCTGCTGTCTCTCTATAAAGTCCCTCAGATTGGTTCAAGTCTCTATTTAGAAATATTACATGATGTTAAATTCTGACAATATAAATTGATACTTCTAAAATTGCTGTATGTTTGATGATGCTCCTGAAATTTCATTTTCTAGGTCTCTGCATTATCAGAATAGTTACTTTCTAGACATAGAATTTTAAAAAGCCATTGTCTGAATAATAATGATTTATCTTACCTTGTCTTGTCTTGTCTTATTCTGTCTTGTCTTGTCTATCTATATCAGAAAAGCCTCAATACAAGAATATCGTGGAGGCTCCTCTACAACTTTCTCAAATTTTGGGCCTCTTGAAGCTTCTAAAGTTTAATAACCTGAGAACTTTTAAGTGGCACACATTGCTAAGATGCCCTGTCCAGATAATGTGATTATAAATTAGCTCTGTGCAATGTAAAATACCTTAAATACCAGCATGTCTATGACCTTGGCCCTCAGGGTACGGGTACAGTGACAGTGTCAGTGACAGACATCAACGACAACGCCCCGACCTGCACCTACTCTACCTTCACTCATTCCATGGATGAATCTCAATGTAAGATCTGTGTGACTTATACTTCACACAAATAGCTCAGTGAAATGTCTGTCTGTCTTACTATAGTACAGATGACAGTTGTAAATAACAGTTTTTAATTTTTTTCCTTTAACTTGATATTAACTGTAAGTTTCGCGGGTTGTATTTGTTGTTTTCGTTAGTTAGTTGTTGTTTTTTTGGCCCCCAATTATTATTTATCTCTGAATATAACAGTTAAGGGCTGCATAATATGTACAAACAAAAGTTTTATTCTGAAAACTTTGCTGTGTCTAACAGGGACTACACAAAATATTTTTCCGAGCTTTCTCTTCTTGTTTTAAGGAATGCAGTCTGTGATGTCTCTCATCATCTTATGTTTAGGTGATGATTTGTAATCTCACCCCCCCCTCCCTCACTCCTCCCCCTTC